GACATCTGGTTGTCAAGCCTCTGCTTAAAGACCTCCAAAGAAGGAGACTCCACCACACTCCTTGGCAGCAAATTCCACTGTCAAACAGCTCTTACTGTCAGGAAGTTCTTCCTAATGTTTAGGTGGAATCTTCTTTCTTGTAGTTTGGATCCATTGCTCCATGTCCGCTTCTCTTGGAGCAGCAGAAAACAACCTTTCTCCCTCCTCTATATGACATCCTTTTATATATTTGAACATGGCTATCATATCACCCCTTAACCTCCTCTTCTCCAGGCTAAACATGCCCAGCTCCCTTAGCCGTTCCTCATAAGGCATCGTTTCCAGGCCTTTGACCATTTTGGTTGCCCTCCTCTGGACACGTTCCAGTTTGTCAGTGTCCCTCTTGAACTGTGGTGCCCAGAACTGGACACAGTACTCCAGGTGAGGTCTGACCAGAGCTGGAACAAAGGAATAAAGAAACAATAAGGAATTGTGCTGGAGAGATTTTGTCTTTGTACAAACAGAGCCTTAAGTGCCTCGGTGCTTACGTTTTAGCCCCTGCAGTACATTGCAAAAACAGTGATTGTTAAAATTACTGTGGTCATTTTATCTGGTTTGGGCATCAGTCCTTGCAAATTCCCCCCAGAGAATGGAATGTGGGGGGCAGAGAGGCACTGAGTGCAAAAGCACTTTGCCTGTTGAAAACCCTCCAACGCCGCCATTAAAAAGCAGAGGTTCTCTTGTTAATTAGAGCTTAATTGGGCTAAAGTACAGGCACGTGCTAGAAGAGATGAGATCACAAACTGTGGAACAAAACCAACTGCCAGGACTTTAAGGTTTGAACTTGAGATAAGACTTCATTCATTGCAAAAGAAGGGGGGAGGAGCCTAAAGTTTCTATATTAAAAGTTTTCTTCTCTACATTTATGATTCGGCCACCCTCCTCTGAATATTAGTTCAAAGTATATTTGTACAAGTGAGGGTGGAATAAATGGGATTATAAATATGCGATAGAACATCAAACAGAACTCTGTGTGTAAAAAGAAAAAGAAAAAGAGAGGTAAGCTCTGTTTTGCAAAAGGTTTACGATGGAAACTTAGAGCTGACTCTTCCCCATCCTTTATTATATATGGAGTGAACTGAAAAATGCTAAGAGGACTTGAAATTTAATTTAATTGGAAGTATAATTGGTCGTTTGTCTTCAGCTGGAAGGAAGGATGAAAGGAATCTGTGAACTGCCAAGAAACTGATAAGGTTCATTACTGAGTTATCTGCAATTTGACAGACAGCTCTTCCTCTCAGGCTGAGAGGGAAAATGGTGAAAAAAGGTTATTTATTGGGACAGAGCGACTTTTGCAGCTGTTGTTAGAGTTGCAAAACAACGAAGCATGGGACAGAGTGAGGGAGAAATTTCTGGAACCACAATGGGATATCAGCTCTGCCCAAGGCATGACGGATAACAGCAACAACCAGGGGAAAGAAAGACAAAATATCTTACAAGGACAGGAAGAAACACCATGGACGGAATAAATGCCACACACAGGAAGAACAAGGATATAGTTTGAGTTCCTCACTTGTAGATTTATAAATAATTTAATGTGTCAACACAAAAGTTATTAATATTGCAGTTGCTGTATAAGGGATTATTATTATGAAATCAAAGTAATGGAAATTAATAAGATTTTGGAATGCAGAAATAAAGCAAATAACCAATTCATCAAATTATATAATTAGGTATTTGAACGATTGGTATTAATAATTGTATTATAAATTGATATTGTTATAATGAGGCTATTACTGGATTGTAATTGAAAACTAATAAAAATTATTAATAAAAAAAAGATTCATTTTGCATTTCATTGTGTTCCCTGCCTTGGATTTATTTTTGAATTTATACCTGTATGTAATCTTGCATCACCGAGTTACAAAATTTCAAAAAGAATTCTGTGTCTTTGTATAGTTAAAGAAATCCTAAGGGAAATTGGCTGGAAACCAATGAATGAAGTAATGGTTGTGATGATACCTGGAAGGAAGGATGGAGCGTCTTTGAGGTCTCTCTGCAACCCAAGACAACCCCAAGGCTCTGACTCCCTCCCAAGATAGTGGGGCACAGCTCTGGCGTGTTCCAGAAGTCAGAGAACCAAGACGTCTTTCCGGCAGTAAGAGCTCTTGAACAGTGGAATGGACTCACTTGGAAGATGGTGGTCACTCTCCTTCATGGAAGGCTTTTAAGCAGGGGTTGGATGGCCTCCTGCCAGGGATTCTTCAGCGGCAATCCCTGCATCGTAGGGGAGTGGCCTAGATGACCTTGGGGGGGCCCCTTCCCACTCAGCAGTTCTCTGATTCTTGTGGGTATGTTGCGTGATCAGCGGGCATATTTTCATGACAACGACCGCACCAATCACAAAAAATCTGCCTGCTGGAGGTGTGTGCTGTGGGAATGTTCAGGAATGCAGGAGAGGATATATTGTCTGACTATAGCCTTTCCAACTTGTGTTAACAAGTTTACAATTTAGCAGAGTAACATTCCCCTTTTTAAACTCACAGCGGATGTGTTTGCTCAGGCTCGCTAAAGCCTCTATAATAACTGTTCTGGTATTTCCCCCTTTTCCCCTCATAAAAGATAAGACACGACACAGTCTTCTATAAAAGTGTAAAAAGGCTTACTCACACATCATTCTGTTCGCAGTAGGATCCCAGAAGGCGGACTTAGCTTAGAAAAGTAACATATACCTAGAAACTATCTCATAAGAAGACAGTCCCTTTGTCCTTCCTGGTCTGGAAGCCAAGAGAGCATCTTTGGCTAATCAGATGTTGCTTCTTCGATGCATGTAGTCAGAGAGAGAGAGATGGCTGCCCTGCCCTGTGCTTTTGTTGTTACCTGCACAGGTGAGGCCACGCCCACCTCTAGTCACATGCAGAGGAAGTCTGTCTCAGCCCAGAAGGAAAAAGGAAGTTGACCTGCTGGCTGGACAAACATTCCTCCCCATGTGTAAACATTTTCACTCTAGGAATGTTGTACTTGACTGCTCTTGTGTTTCACATCCCACAATTCTGTGAATCTTCATTCCTGGGGTGGACACAATGTGTGAGATGGAGGCATAGGAGCCAACTCCTAGGGGCCAAGGTCCCTTTGCCCCCCCCAAAAAATATATATCAGTGGACCAGCCCCCCACCCAGTTGATGGCGATTGCCATTCAAATGGTGTCTGTGCACCATGTCTTGTGATTGATTATGCAGGGTGGGGCTTACCTAGGCCCCTCCAATATTTTGGCACCCTGTAGCTGGATGGGGAAGAGTGGTAGAAGCCTTGTTTTCTTCCTTTCCAGAGGAATGGGTTATCTGTACTGGTGTTATGTACCATCTATACATTATTTTCATGTAGTTTTCTTTCAGTAAAGATCAGTCTGTGAATTTTAAATCAGTTTTCCACAATCTTTCCCAATCTTCAAATATTATATTATGACCTATGTCTTGTGCCCATTTAATCATGACTGATTTCACCTCCTCATCTTTTGTTTCCCATTCTAGTAGAATACTACATGCACCTTTCAGCAACTTTACTTTCCCTTCCACAACTTTTGTGTACTTTCCCTTTCCCATACCATAGATATGTGTGCCATCCAAATCTATTGTCATGTCCTTCCAATTCTAATGCTTCTTGCTTTTCCAACTTTATCCAGTCCCTAATCCATACCAGTAGTGCAGATTCATAATATAATTAAAGGTCTGGGAGGGCAAAACTGTCTCTGTCTTCTATATCTGTAAGTATCTTATGTTTTATCCTTGGCCTTTTGCAGAGGAATGGCATGTCAAGGGGAAAGGGGTGGAAGAGGAGAAGGCTGAGACTGGCTCCTTTTTTCTCCAAGGCCCCAGCCTTTGACTTGATGCTGGGCTTTCCGAAACTGAGGCCTGTCCCTCAGAGACGTCCTCCTCCCCCTGCATGTTACCGCTTCTGCCCTGGTGCTGGACTGCAACCACAGCTCCTACTCTCAACACAGAATCCTCTAGATTGCTTCAGCAGGAAAGAAAGATTCTCATGTTCATGTCCATAGGGGTAAATGCATGCTGCAAACATAGGACCTTCAGCTGAGCTGCGTGGTAGGTGTCAGGGACTGGCTGGATGAGGAAGAGTGGCGTTGCTACCTGTCCAGGAGGACATTGAAGAAGAGGACCTCGACAGAGAGGAATCAGAGGTTGCCTCTGCTAATGGCTCTCCTCCTCCATGGAATGGGAGGGATCCAGTGTGAGAGGCTAGAAGGCAAGGTTTCCAGCAACGTCTCAAGCTTACTCGAGCCAGTGTGACTCAGTTGTGTTGTTGCTTTCTGTGAATAAAAGCTAGTTGCATTTCATGCCTCACGTTCTTTCCAGCCCTGTGGATGACCTGAGCTTGCCTGACAACTCCTTGACAATAGGATAGCATCATAGAAAAGTAGAAAAAGGCTCATCTAATCCAACCTCCACCAATGCTGGAATCACCGCTAAAGCCACTGTTTAAACACTCTTGGGAAAGTCACTTGCCAGACCTCCATGACAGAAACCCTCCTGTTCTTCTCTCTCCTGAACTTCTCGGTGGTGTTGGAGCACCAGAAGGCCCAGAAGAACCACTGCCCATGTGGGAACCAGAACTGTCCAGATAGTCTTGCCCTTGGAGGAAAGGGAAGGGTCCAAAAGGGATGACCTATCTTGGCCAGAGGCAGAGGGAATCAAGGCACAGAGAGAGAAGAGCCCAACGAGAAGGAAGACATTTGTTACACAAAAGGAGCATTGACCCCTGAGACACTTTCTTGGAAATTGGATTGCAAATGGAAAACGCAATGTGAAGTGGCCCCTTTGATCTTAGCTTGCCAAGGGACAGCGACCTTTACATTCTCCTCATAGTTTCTTGTGCAATGCGGGAACATTTGCTAGCACCACCTTTCCTCATTGTCTCCTCTCTTGTCTGGGTGGGGCTCCTGCTGCATTGGGGAATTATAAAAACCACCTGGCTGGAGGCTGGAGGGCACAGTGACCTGCCTAGCCATGAGGCCTGGTGCTCTCATCTTCCTCCTCGCGGGGCTCCTCTCTCTCTGTGCTGTGGTGTCCTCTGCCTTTGGCCAAGGTACTTGACCCCCTTTGGACCCTCCCTGAAAGATGGAGCCCTTTCTACCTGAGCAAGGCTCTCTCTACACATCTGCTCTTCTGCTGCTGCTGCTGCTCTGTGTGCAGAGTTCAGATCCTCCAGAGGAGCAGGCATTTCTGAGCCATGGAGGGCCAACTGCCTGGGACTGTTTAAGGGGGCTCTACCATGGACCCCCTGCACTTTACGGCTCTTGTTTTGATTGACATCAGCTGGGGAAGGGATGGAGATGCCTCTCCAATACCCACCCACAGCCCTTAAGCTGCAGCCCAAGAGTAAAGCAGATGTCTCCAAGAGGTTCTTGAGCTGTGGTTCCTACATTACTGAGGCTTGGACTTAGGGATCTCTTCCAATTCCAATCTATAAGGGAGCCTGGAGCCCAGAGTGGGCTGACATAAAAGACCCCCACTCCACTACCGGGCAGTCATTTGGTTGTTCTGTTCCAGGGAAGCCAGGATACTGCCCCCGACGAGAAGGCTTTGGACTATGTGTGGAGGAATGTTCTGGAGATTTTTCATGTCCTGGAAAGAAGAAGTGCTGCAGCAACAACTGTGGCCACACTTGCCAAACTCCACTAAAAGGTAATAAGTCATTTCCCCTCAGAAGCAGACTGGGGTCTTGGAGTGCAACAGTCTCACCTTCAGTAGCATGTCCCCTATATCAGAGGGAGGTGGGGTGTATGGGAAAGAGCTGGGACCTGTGAGCTTGTCCACTCTTTACTGAGGAGCTGAGCAAGAACTGAGAGGTCAGAATCCAGCCATTCAGCAGCTGTTAAGATTCTTAGCTTTATCAGTTCCCCAGGACTTCACTGTGCTTCTGGCACAAAGGCTTTCAAGCGCTCTTGAGAAATACTCAAAGGGACAAGAGTAGCCCTCGTCTCTGAGAAAACTCCCCACTAAACAACGGGAGGAAGTCCTTTCCCCTCAGAAGCAGACTGATAAATAATAATAATAATAAATTTTATTTATACCCCGCCCTCCCTGGCCAGAGCCAGGCTCAGGGCGGCTAACACCAGTAATATTACAGTAAAAACATAATAGGGGGGAAAGAGAGGGGGTGAACCCAATTTAAAATACAGGTTAAAATGTAATTTAAAATGCAGCCTCATTTTAAAGTAGCTGATAAATCAAGGCCATAGGGGGAGGGAAACATAAGGGTCAGACCGAGTCCAAACCAAAGGCCAGGCGGAACAGGATGGAAAGATGTCAAGTCCTGCAGGGCCCTGGTCTCTTGTGACAGAGCATTCCACCACATCGGGGCCAGGGCTGAAAAGGTCCTGGCCCTAGTTAAAACCAATCTAACCTCCTTGAGGCTTGGAACCTCCAAAGTGTTGTTATTTGTGGACCTTAAGGTCCTCCGCGGGGCAGACCAGGAGAGGCGATCCCGTAGGTACGTGGGTCCTAGGCCGCATAGGGCTTTAAAGGTGAAGCAGATGCAGGAAGGAAATCTCTGATGCCCACTTCATAGCTGGAAAGAACACCAAGGGATAGGAGTGGCCACAGTGGGGAAGCTTAGCCAGCCCCAGCAAAGACTGATCCAGCTTCAGCCCAGATGTCCATCCCTCTGCTAGGAGGGAGGGAGGGAGGGTAAAACCTGGAGCCTCTTCATCTGAGCTGTGCTCCTCCTAGAAATACACAATCTTTGGTTGCTGGGATGCGAAAAGCCACAACTAATTCTACACCACTGTTGCCCTCCTTTGAAAAGATGTCTCTGAGCCATAATATTGTTCTGTCTTGCAGAAAGGCCTGGAAGCTGCCCTTTCTTTCCTGCAGTAGTGAGGCCACCTTGCATAAATGCATGCCGTAAAGATTATAATTGTCCTTTTCCCAAGAAATGCTGTTCAAGCATGTGCTCCAGGGTCTGCATAAATCCAGGTAAGAGGCTGAGCCCCTGGTGTGAGGACACAGCACAATTAGGCAGATGCTGATTCGGATGATTTATTGTTTTTTATCGGGTCTGCTTAGCCTGGACAAGAGACGACTAAGAGTAAGTAGGAGAACTATCTTTGAATACTTGAAGGGCCACCACATAGAAGATGGAGCAATTTTCTTTCCTGCTGCTCCAAAAGGCAGGACTTGTTCTGCTCCTGAGCTGCTGAGAGTGCAGGGACCACCTTAAGGCAGAGGTGGGGTGCTATTGGGAAGTCTAGTTTTGTGTGACACCTCGGACCCCTGAGCAGAACAGAGGCCACCTTAGGAATCATGGGCTCCTCTAGCTACTGGATGCAAAGGAGCCCCATCCCACATGAAGAGAGAGAGCCTCTCTGGCCAAAGACATCTCTCAACCTTGGAATTCTGCTCTGTTGCAGACTCTGTTGCAGAGAAGCCTGGGCAATGTCCTGGGGGTCAGCCAGGTATGGCCGGACCCTGCGTGGTTTGGTGTGAGAATGACTGGTCATGCCCTGGAGCTCAGAAGTGCTGCGGGAGTTGCCCACGAGCTTGTGCTTATCCTGTCAGAGGTGAGTCCTTTTATTCTGCGGAGGGTGGGGTGGGATAGGAAGCTCTTCTTCTTCATGAATCAAGGCCATTGTGACTTATGAAGAATTGCAGAATCTCTATACTCAGAAGTGCTTACCTGGATTCTGGCTTGAGGCAGGAGGCAGTTGAGGCAAGGAGCCCCACAAGGAGGAGAAGGCTACCACAACACATGATGGACAGGCTTTGTCTGCTGCCCAGACCATCAGTTGACTAGAGCTTTCAGGTTGGAAAGGGAGCCCAAGAGTCAATGAGGGTTTTGCTCTTTTGCAGAGAAGCCTGGACGATCCCCTCCAAATTGAGGTGTGGGAATCTGCATTGCAAAGTGTGGATTTCTGAAACCCACTTGAGGATTTCTGGGATCCTCTGGGTTCCAGACAAAAGTGAACTCCATTGCAGCTGCACAGGGAGGGTCTCTCTGGCCAAAAGGCATCTCTCAGCCACAGAACCCTAGAACTGTCAGGTTGGAAAGGAGCCCAAGGGTCACTGAGGGCTTTGCTCTTTTGCAGAGAAGCCTGGACGATGCCCCCCGAATCAAGGTGTGGGAAACTGCATTGCACGGTGTAGAAATGACTGGTCCTGCCCCGGTGTTCAGAAGTGCTGTGGTGGATGCCCACGAGATTGCCGTAATCCTGTCTAAGGTGAGATGAATTTGAATTTGGTGGAGGGTGGGGTGCAGTCGGATAGAGACTCCGTCTGTGGTTTGTGGGAGATTTTGGAGTCTCATAGATCAAAATATCTGGTAGCCTTTATGTATCTGGAGAGAAAGAAGGAGAAAGAGAAAGAGAAGCAGAAATACCTCTTCACCCCTGTTGTGAGAATGAACCAAGCATTTTTAGTAAGATGAATGAAAAAGGGGATTTACTTACATTGCTCAAGTGCAGTTTTGCTCGAGGAGGGATGCCTGTTGCCTCTGAACTGACAGCTAAGAGATGGTCCATAATTATGACATGGGAACAAGGGGATGGGGCCATAGCTCTGTCATTGAGTACCTTGGTCCAAGGCTCCATCTGGGCATCTCCAGGTAAGGGAAACCCTTGTCATCTGCTTAGCTAGGGTGATGAGCACCAATCTCTCTAGGGTTATTTGTCCTGCATTTCCTGTGGGAATGTTCAGGGATGCAGGAGAGGATATATTGTCTGATTATAGCCTTTCCAACTTGTGTTAACAAGTTCACAATTTAGCAGAGTAACATCCCCCTTTTTAAACTCACAGTGGATGCGTTGCTAAGGCTTGCTAAAGCCTCTGTAATAACTGTTCTGGTATTTCCTCCTTATTCCCCATAAAAGATAAGACACAGTCTTCTATAAAAGTATAAAAAGGTTTACTCACACATCATTCTGTTCACAATAGGATCCCAGAAGGCAGACTTAGCTTAGAAAAGTAATATATACCTGGAAACTATCTCATAAGGGGACAGTCCCTTTGTCCTCTCTGGAAGCCCAGAGAGCATCTTTGGCTAAGCAGATGTTGCTTCTTCGATGCATGTAGTCAAAAAGAGAGAGATGGCTGCCCTGCCCTGTGCTTTTGTTGTTACCTGCACAGGTGAGGCCACGCCCACCTCTAGTCACATGCAGAGGAAGTCTGTCCCAACCCAGAAGGAAACATGAAGTTTACCTGCTAGCTGGACAAAGATTCCTCCCCATGTGTAAACATGTTCACTCTAGGAATGTTGAACTTGACTGCTCTTGTGTTTCACATCCCACATTTCCATGGGTGCCTGAACACTCTTTTATTCCTGCAGCAAAGTGATGACAGTGATGCGCAGCCTGAAATCCCTGCAACTCCTACAGTTTTGGAGAGGTGAACCCAGCACCCAAGGAGTGAAGGCAACGATAGGCCCAGCTCCCTCTTGACCCAATAGACCCGATCCAGCATCCTTCCCTGCCTGCAATAAAATGATCCCTGTGCCTGCATACCAGAGTGTCTTGTTCTTGAGTCTTGCTTGCTTATATCTTTCCAAAAGGGTGTTGGCAGGAGGGAGGGAGGAAGAGCCTCTGGCTGAGGGCTGTGGAAACTCAACAGAGCACACATACAGCCAGGGAAGGGCAGCTTCACAATGGGGCAGAGTTAGCAGGGGAAATGCTCTGAGTGAAGGGCAAATCCACCCCTCTTGAGTTCTATGGTCCCTACTTCCCAAATATCTGACCATCTTACCAGGCAGGGGTTTGGTGGGCAAAACGTGTGAGTCTAATGTGTTACTTCTCGGATCCAGGTCCTTTGTAGATTCTCTCTTGGAGCGTGTCCCTGCACTGCCTGTTTACTTGCCCACCTTCCTCTTTTGAAAGGAACAGGGCAGAAGGTGGCACCATCTGGGTGCGCAGAACTACCCTGCAATGATGGACAGAAAGGGTGACCAGAACTCCTGGGGCCTCCCCCTTCCCTACAGATTTTTGTGAGTTGGCTGATGCTGAGCTGCCTTCTTCTCTCTCAGTCCTGCCTAACAGCCTGAAGAGAGACTCTGGCTCAGATCATTGTGGTGCCAGCAACTGATCTCATGGTTGCCATACTTCCTCATTTGTCAGCAGCGTCTTGGCGGAAATAGGCCAAATACCCATGAAAATCTGGCACATAGCTGTCCGTGCATTATTTATATTTTTTTAAAAAATGCAATCTTGCTCAAAAATGTTTAACAACTTTGCTCACCCCCCAAAACCTGGATTTTCACTGTTTGAAATATGGCAACCCTGTTCCAAACAGAGTGAAGGAACAGGTTACCCAAACCTGACTGTGCAATCACCTGAACCGGGCCCCAAGCCTCCCAAATTCCTTCTTCCAAGATCCATTAGCTAAAATGCATTAGCCTGAGCTGTTTAGCCAAACCCAGCTGTATAAACAAAGCCCTCTCCTTTTTTTTTTTTAATTCTTTTTATTGGTTGATTCCATAAGAGAATAGAAACTAACACAAAAATAAACATAGAAAGCAAAAAGAAAATAATACACAGACAAACAAAGGACAAAAAGGAGGAAAAAAATACACAAATTTATAATTTTCACATCAGTCCGATTACTTCGCTATCCCTTTCAAAACTTCCTTCAGCTTGTCCGTAAATCATTCGAAGTAGTCAATGAAGTTACGCATTTCCCGGCTTCTATTGCCATTATACCTTTCTCTATCTCCTATTTTCTTTGTACAATAGCTCTTAGTCTTTCACAGTACATCTCTGAATCCCTTTAGCATTGTTTGCCCCTCACTAATATGTTCCAGGTAATCTACGTACTTTCCCCAATCCTTGATGAACCTTTGGTCTCTTATATACCTAATTTTTCCTGTCAAGCGTAGTCTAATAGCTTTAGTCTCCACTCCTCCACCGTTGGTATTTCCTGCCGTTTCCACCTCTGGGCTAAGACTACCCTTGCTGCTGTAACTGCATAATATACTAGTCTACAATCTTCCTTTTTTATCTCGTGCCCCAGTACCCCTAATAGGAAGATTTCCGGTTTCTTTGTGAACGTGTATTTTAAAATCTTCTTTAGTTCAATGTAAATTTTTTCCCAAAACTGTTTCACTTTTCCACACTCCCACCACATATGGTAGAAGGAGCCCTCTTTATCTTTACATTTCCAACACCTGTTGTCCACTTTATACATTTTCGATAGTTTCATAGGTGTTAAATACCACCTGTAGAACACCTTCATGACATTTTCCTTTATCGTTATGCACGCCGTAAAATTTAGCCCATCCTTCCAAAGTTTCTCCCAATCCTCGAATTGTATATTGTGACCTACATCCCTTGCCCAACGAATCATCACCGATTTGACTTCCTCATCTCCTAAATTCCAATCTAGCAACATCCTGTACATTTTAGATATGATTTTCGCTTCATTGTTTATAATCTCCATCTGAAATTTAGAATCTTTATCTACATAACCTCTTTCTTTGATGTCTTTTCTAAACATCTCATTCACCTGAAAATAATGTAACCAGTCATAAACATGCTCCTTGACTTGCTCGTACGGTTTTAATTTCATTTCCCGTCTTCCTTAGTTAATAACTGACTGTATGTTGCCCAATTACTTCTCATATTAATAGTCTTCACACTCATTTCTTCAAGAGGTGATAGCCAATGTGGTGTTTGAATTTCTAACACATTTTTATACCTTTCCCATGTTTCGATTAGTGGCCCTCTAAAGATATGGTTTTCAAATCCCTTATGTCTTTCCTTTTATTCCGCCATAAGTAGGCTGGTGGGCCCCAGTCCTTGCCACCCTTTTCACCAGCATAGATCAAACAGCAATAATACCAGAGGACTGGGGATTGGCAATCATCGTTCCCATATTCAAGAAAGGCTGTAAACTTGATCCAGCCAATTACAGACCAATCAGTCTCTTAAGCATCATCAGCAAACTTTATGCAACTCACTTACGTGAAAAGTTTGCGGACTGGCTGGAACAGGAGCACATCCTAAAGGAAGCCCAGGCTGGTTTCAGGGCACATAGATCAACTCTAGACCAAGGATTGGTATTGCAACATCTAGTGGAGAAATACACCTCAAAGAAAGGAGGCTCTCTCTATGTAGCCTTTATAGATTTCAAATCAGCCTTCGACTCGATACCCCGGCACAGACTTTGGGAAAAACTAAATGTCACAAACATCGATAGACGTCTTTTGCTTCTTATCCGTAGACTACATGAAAATACTCGGATCCGTGTTAGATGCGACCGTTATGGGAACCTATCAAAGGAAATCCAAAGTTTCCATGGTGTCAAGCAAGGCTGTGTTCTTGCCCCTATTCTTTTTAACTTCTATATAAACTCCTTAGTCGGAAAGATGGAGGAAGCAAGTACTCATTCCCCAAACCTAAATAATACACCAATCCCGGTCCTTTTGTACGCAGATGATGCGGCACTTATTTCCTTCTCTTGTGTGGGTCTAAGAAAACTTTTACGAGCTCTTACAGAGTATTGCGAAGCTGAACACCTAATAATAAATTACACTAATCAAAAATTATTCCAAGATATCTAAAAGATGTTACTTGCTCAATAGGTTGGTTATTAATTTTCCATTTATGTCGGAGTTTTCTCTTGGAGAACACCATAATTTTTGATTTAGTGTAATTTATTATTAGGTGTTCAGCTTCGCAATACTCTGTAAGAGCTCGTAAAAGTTTTCTTAGACCCACACAAGAGAAGGAAATAAGTGCCGCATCATCTGCATACAAAAGGACCGGGATTGGTGTATTATTTAGGTTTGGGGAATGAGTACTTGCTTCCTCCATCTTTCCGACTAAGGAGTTTATATAGAAGTTAAAAAGAATAGGGGCAAGAACACAGCCTTGCTTGACACCATGGAAACTTTGGA